AAAACATTACACAGACTATTGAAACACACAATAAGGCTAAGGTCACAAGAATCTGTCAGACAGACATATACACCATACAAAAGTTTCATACACCAAATACAGTCCTTACCAACCTTTCCATGACAACCTAACATTGACCAATGAATCACAAAAACTAAGTGAATCAGACTAGCCCTGTCGGACAGATTTTTACACCTAACAATCATTTCATAGACCAAATATAGGTACTTTAAACTTATAGTATTTGAGAAATGGATAATAAAATGACTAATGAATCATGAAAATGAGGGCATTGATAGATGAAACCAGCCAGGCAGACTTGTACAACTTGCAATCATTCTACAAAACAAATATAGTCGATCTTCTAATTATAGTATCTTTGATAGGGACTTGAACTCTACAACTTATCCATGACCACTGATTTATGCAGCAAGGTCGAGGTCAGGTTAAACTTGTCCGACAAACATGTAGACTGTGCAAGGATCTCATATACCAAATATAGTTGGCGTGTTACTCATAATAAGTGAGTATTTCACAAGACTAAAACAAAATACACATTTTTTTCAACGAGTCGCTGAACCATGAAAATGAGGTCAAGAAAAATGGACATATGCCAGACAGAAACTTCGTAACTTAAGGTATCTGCATACAAGGTATGAAGCACCCAGGTCATCTAACTTCTGAAATATAAAGCTTTATACAAATAGTTAATGCTGGGGACGATTCCACTAGATTGTAATCTACGTCTCGCATTCGGCGACAAAACTTTTGTTCAAAACTAGACAAAAAATAGTATATTAGTTGAAATGATTTAATTTCACTTTTCAATACATGTACCTGAAATATGTCTGTCGTTATTTGTGGGTTAACATCAAATAGCTAACTCATAATTGCAACACTACTAATGATTCTTTTCTTTTTTCTGCATTTGAACTCTGGATATAGCATCAGTTCAGGTTTTCCTTTACTTTTTCTAAAGTTACTGAATGACAGCTACTCCAAGAGATGGTCATAGATATTACAGTTAGATGTTGGACAGAATGATTTTATAATCAGAAGCACCAGGAGTCATATTTCAGTAACTGGAAGAATTCTTTAAACCCTAGGGTTTCTTTCAAAGTTCAGCCTTTCCTTTTTTTACTCTCTATACTTTTGTCAGTTATGTGCTTTTGTTGTCCAGGCTGTTTTATGTTCTATTTGGTGTCTTGTAACTCAATTAGGTGCCATTGTGCAATACACCAGTTCAACAATTATGAAGACACTAAAGTTCCAACTTCTCAGACAAAGTTTACCTCGGATGGATTAAGCTATTCTTTTGTTATCCCCTTTTGGTTGTATTCCTCATACATTGAATTATTTCTACATCCTTGACTTTCAAATATGTGGACTGAGGCTTGAGCATTTCCGATGTAGGCAAATCTAGGGAAGCACTTTAGGCACACGAAATTTATAAAGTTTTAGACCCAATTTCAATACATGATCTGAATATCGGAATAAATGAAACCATGTTAATTAATCATTTTTTTAAATAAACACTTATTTGTATGATTTTGGCCTTTAGAAAAGAAAAGAAAAAAGTCTCATGCACCATGATCATTCATGATATAATCATTTTGTATTTTACTGTTTAGAAGATTTAAAACATACCATGTAATAATATTGAAACATTCATTAAATACAAGTTCACTATCAGCAATCGTTTAAATGTCTTTTTGTAAAACAAGAGTCTAAACATAAAACAAATAATTTTAACAAAAATACATAACAGTCTACTTTACAACATAAAAATATACAAATTAAGTTGAGATTTAAAAAATAAAAAATAGTTAGGCAAAAAGGATATTGATATTTCTACACGGGAAAACCGTGGAACATTTTGCTGAAATGTTTAACAAGGAAGGATTTCATAGCCTTGTCTGCAATTTATTAGAATGGTTTACATTTTAGACCATAATATGTCATTTATTTACATTTTCTTTTTATGGATAATTTAAAAGAATTATTTTATGATCAATTACGCTTTTTTGTCAGCCGATAGTTTAATATTATTGACTTAGAAAAAATCCGATGTCGATGTATGGAGATATAATTGGATATGTGTGATTGAATATTTAGATTCTTTAATTTTTTTGAAACCTATATAGCAAAATTATGGGGAGACCTAGTTTTGCTGTCGACTACACATATACGTATTGTGAAAATGTTTGCATAAAGGAATTCCAGAACTCAAAACTTATCAGCAAGTTTATAAACAGTCTCGACTATATTTAGAGTATTTTATCTGCAAAAATTCATTTGAGAAAAAAAATGAGAAAACAGAAAACACAATACACAGCAAAGAACCTATTTCATTTGATTTTTATTTTCTCCTGTCTCACACATTAGTTACTTGGTTTAAGCATGGAAAACATTGATTTTTTTATACGAAATAATTGTGCATGTTGTTTCCTCTCTGTGCATCCATCTTGCCATCATTCATGCCCGCCTGCTCGTTCTTTCTTCAGGTTCATGTTTTAGTTTATGATAATTCATCTTGAAGTTGTGGTGGCATTCACCTAAAACTGAGTTCATATGCTCCTTATGATCATAAATATTCTTTATTTTTTATGCCAATAATGGATTTTATGGTTCACTGAACATGGACATATTATATTACGTGTAGGGTAATGTGTCGTATGGACATACCATTCTTGTATTATTGTTGTATATGGTTTCCAATGACTGGCGTGTTCAATCAGGAGACTTAAAAACATCGAAATCATTGAGTGCTATCCTAGTCTGTTAGTCCGACCCTTTGTTTATGTTCATACGATAACGTTCGACCATCTTAAATGATTCATTTGAAATTTAAAAGTGTTTTGGGAGCATAGAGCACAGATCAAGATAAAGGAGAGGCTAGCTTGGGGTTCCTTCATTTCTGTTTTTTTTTTTTATATTTTTAGGGCACTGTTTCTTTGATTTTAAAAAACAACGCGTATTCCGTAAAATTCTCATGAACATGATTGTACTTTTATATTTTTTTCTGTATATAATATCTTTATTCTGCACATCATTCCTTTCTGTAATCAGTATTTTGTTACCTAATTCCTTTATTTTTCACTGTTATTCTTTATGCTATTGCACCCATAATTCTCTTTCCTTCTTTAATAGCTATTTTTGTTCTCTCTTAACTATTGATTTTGTCATTATTTTCTATTTTGTAAACTCCATTCAGAACCTTGCGAAATAAATAGCCTAAACAGTTTCCCATTAGATAGGAGGGATCAATTTTGAAATACCAAATTTGATGACAATGAGGTCGTCTCCCCTTGTAAATACTGTAAAAGGCAATGACCTGAGGTCATCCCCATTGTCTATGAAAAGTCAAATACGAGGACCAAACGCCATTTTGCCTTGTCTATGATCATGCAGTACATGTATACACCCTCTTTGTATGTAATTAAAATGAAAACACATCCACTGAAGATCATAATCTTTTGTCTTATGATTTTTATAATCATTCTTTACCAAAGTGAATGAGGTTCATTTCGTAAAACTCATCCTTTATAACCTCTTTATATGAGTGTACAACACATGCCAGAGGTCACCCCCTTTATTTACCATGTGCAGGACGAATTTTACAAAATGACTTTAGGTCATACCTTAATGTATTACAGCTGGTTTGGAGGAGTATAATTTTACACAATGATACGAGGGCGTCTCGGTTTTCCCCTTTATACAGTTATGTAAAGGACAATACACGAGGTCATCCACCTTTGTCTATGGTAGTTCAAACGCGAAAACCTATTTAGACAGAACCTAAACTGAAAAAAAGAAAAATGACAGATCCCGCATAAGGAGACAACAGATAATATGTAAATATGCAAATTAATATATTCTTGATCCAGTTTACCAACTGGTATTTTGTCTCTTTTAAATTATGCATGTTCAGTTTTGTTATGTTTTGTCGTATTTTTACTTTGTTTTGGCACGTCAAGGATTTGTATTTACTATACCAATCCGTTGTCGCGACATTCACAATATTTCACTCCATTTGCGTTCATGATTATATAAATTTGGCCACCACTGTTACATTTGATTAGCAGGTAGACATCTCTCCTAATTCAAGGTCTAGTATACAGGAGTTCGTGCATGTGTTTGATATCCAGCTTGATCAAACAAACTACTTTAAAACCGGTTTTTGTTGCTTCCCGGCCAGTTACATAGCATTTAGAAGTAAGAGCATGAACTGGATGTCTCTGTGTTAGAATAAAATGTTTGAGTAATGTGATTTGTCTTTTTGTATAATGCTACGTTTTGTAGAAGAGGGACGAAAGCTACCAGAGGGACAGTCAAACTCATGGATCGAAAACAAACTGACAACGCCATGGCCAAAAATAAAAAGACAAACAGACAAAATAGTGCAGATGACACAACATAGAAAACTAAAGACTAAGCAACACGAACCCCACCAAAAACTGGGGGTGATCTCAGGTGCTCCGGAAGGGTAAGCAGATCCTGCTCCACATGTGGCACCCGTCGTGTTGCTTATGTTATTACAAATCCGGTAAATAGTCTAATTCGGTATGTCACATTCGTGAAAAGGGAAGGGTATTGTAGTTACGACATAAGGTACATATCCGATATCATCTGTGAAACGGTTATTCCATAATGGTAGTTAACACCTAAAAAACAATGTCAACTTGTCGGTCTAGTACAAAGCAGGTAATTCAATCAATTGCAACATCAAACTTAAAACATGATAAATCTTTTATAATTATAAAAGAAAGGCAAATGATACCATAGGGACATTAAAACTCATAAGTCCAAATTAGAATGAGACTGACAACGCCATTGCAAAATGAAAAAAATGACCAAAACACAAACAAAGGTTTACAAAACACTACAGAGAAAACTAAAAACTGAGCAACACGAACCCCGCTCAAAACCGTGGGTGGTACCAGGTGCTCCAGAAGGGTAAGCAAATTCTGCTCTACATATGGTTTATTATGATGAGTTCATCAAATAGCAATATTTTTATTTTTCTTATTCTGTACATTGCACGGGTTTGATGTTTATTTATAACTTTGAAGTGTTATCATCACATAATTTCAAACGACCGTCGGATAATGTTATACTTAATTTTTCGTAAAACATTTCTTCAGAATTATATGGAGCCTCGGAATCAGATGGCCATACAATACAGACGACCTTATACCAGATTTCTTTCAAGGCCTTGGGAAGTTTGTCTTTTTTTATGTCATCCTTCAGTATAACAATAACCATTGATTCACGACCCTCTCTGAAGGCATGCATTCTTGTCATTTCTATTTCATACGTTCCCCAGCTACTCTCCAGGAAATCCTTAGTAATAACAAATACAACCTTTCTGCTTGAATTTATTGCTTCCACGATGCACTCGGCAATAGGCATTCCACCTTGGAAATCCTTGTGATATAAACAGAGGCTGAAGCCTTTTGACTGCAATTTGTCGTAGAGAGTTTTAACCCATGATATGTCTTTATGACTGTATGAAATAAACGCATCATGGTTGAACTCTTCCGAAAGAGGCTGGTAATGCCTAAGTTTCATCTTAATTCTTAGAAAGAAATACTCAAATGCAAATCGGTAGCGATAGTAAACTATTCCAAAGATAATAGCTAAAATGGTGAAAGAAGTAATGCAACTTGCCAGTGTTATCCATAATTTCGTTTGACAACTGATTTCATATGTTTTTAGATTTCGCAAGAAATGAGACAAAATTGCAAGCGTCCCATTTTGGAGGACGCATTCTATTTCATCAACATCACTTATAATACCTGAATGGTGCACCCATTTTAGAAAACGTAACGTCTTACATGAGCATTCAATCGGATTTCCACTAAGAAATACACTAGAGGGTTTTATTATGTTAAGTTTATCGATACTGGCATCGCTTAGACACGAAAATCTATTGTATTTTAGACTGATTTGTTGAATAGTATTTGGTACCGACAGAAAGTTTGGTAGCGATTGTAAGTTGTTTTTGTCCAATATGATAGAAATCTTTTGTCTAAAAGGATGATTGAACAAGCCATCTGGTAGTGAATTTATGTTATTTTGCATCAGATCAATGTGCTGGAGATCTAAATTCCTCTTGAAGAATTCGGATGAATTTTTAAGGGAATTCAAACCGATTCCCAGATAAGCATCACGTGTAATGAGAGTAATCAGTTTCGGAAAATGAGACAGAAAATGTTCACTCAATACTTTGCAGTTGAATCCTGACATATCTAAATACTCTAATTTTTCAATGCCGTAAACCGTACCATCACAATCTCGGACTGTAACGTTTGCCATATTTAAAACTTTTAAATTTGACCCATTGACAATAGTTATATTTGAAATTCTCCTCCTATTATACGATTTAACGTGCGAATGGAGGTCCAATTGTTCTAATGTTTTTGGAACGCAAAACGAGTAAGATACGTCATCTTTAGGGGATCGTTTTACTCTATTGTCTTTAACAACCTCATGTGGAATTCTGATTATTTTTAAACGTTTAAACGCACAAAATGCAAATACATATCTATCTTTGCTGTTGAACAATAAATTATCGGACAAATCTAATTCTTCTAAACAATTCTCCTTATATCCATATCTTAAAAAGGGATTAAACTTTAGACCAAGTATACTATCACCTACCAATTTTAACTTTTGTAGACAAATTTTTTCAAGTACTGCAAAGTGAGGATGGCCCAATACAAATCCGTTTCTATGAGGATTTCCAGTAATGCTTATTTCCGTCATATTTCTATCTTTGAAAATCTTCAAAGAATTAAATATGCTGCTTATGACGTCGTACGCAGCACGAGCGGTGTGTATCGATATCCCTAGTGTCTTTAGATTTGGAAAAGATATGAACGTGTTTGGTACTAGTGAAATCACAGAATCAAGCAATAAGGTTTCTATTTTAAGACACTTTAGGTTTTGAATTGAATTACCTGCATATGTTTGTCCAGGCAATCCTAAAATTTCCAGGTCCTGTAGGTTTGATAAATTACAAAGACATTTATCTATTTGGTATGGTCTACTCAGATCCATTTTTAACTTGACCAATGATTTTACTCGAGATATTTCGGATTGAAAAAATGTATAATTATCGTAAAAATAATTATTTTGTATTACTAGTTCCTGAAGAGAAATTAAACCTTGAAAAATATTCACATTAAGTAATTTTGAAGTTAATAAGTTACTTCTAAGGTTGAGAATGGAAAGTTCGACTAGTCCCTCGAAAGCTCCCCGTTCAATCAACCTCAGCCGATTATAAGACAGATCTATGCTTTTTAATATTCTTGATTTCTTGAAAGACCATGCAGGAACTACGTGTAAAAGATTTCCTCGGAGATTTAGATTTGTTGTAGAATTTATCAGAACATCAGGCATTGTTGTTAAATTTTTCCTGGAACAATCTATATGGTTGACGATCTGATCATTCATTTTAATGTGTGTTGTCTTCAATAACCCTGCATAAAAATAGATTAAAGTAAACATTAAAATATCATACAAATAAAGAAAAAAAAACCTTATGGGGTTATTGGATTTTCAAATAGGAGTTTTTAAATTACATGTAATAAAATTATGGAAAGAAGGGGTTAGTGGGGAAATTTTTGTAATGGCACAACATGGATAAAACCAGAGGATTCCGAATATCTGGCAAAAATTCAAAAACAAGAGAAACGAACACCCTTAACAATTTTTCAAATCTGAAATACCATCATTTACCTTCATTTAAAAAAAAGACTTTATAAAACATTCTATGAACAAGTTTATCTATAGTTTTGGAAAATATTTTTTCTAGGTTTCAAACCGCTACATGGTTACGATTATATCTGTGTTCACTGTCATGCAGATCTATCTGTCGTTATTTGGAGATTTTATTCTTATGTGGAATACATGTAATTTTGAATATATTTCTATTAGTATATACTGTCTGAGTATTTTGAAATTAAGCACATTATACAAATGAGCATTTATTCACCTTATGAATGTTCGTCAATTACATTACATGAAATGAGAAAACGCTATACATTTGACTTCACTTAAAACTAGGAATATATGTATCTATCGCAAGGAAGCATTTTCAAAACGATAATCTCTGATAAAGAAATCCGCCAAAGGAATGTCTGATGTACGGAAAATTGACATGGCTTATTATACTCATGTTATTGAAATCTATATTTATCAAGTTGTTTTTGTATTGTCACACAAGACTATATTCAAATGACGTGAATTGAAATTTAAAAATTTTACCTTGCACTTATAGTCGTTGTCAACATTAACAATTTAACGAGTTCAACATAACAAATTTGAACTTCTCGTTTAATTATGTTTAAACACACCAGTTTTCTGTTTTCTGTATTTTGTTTACTTCTTTTCTGTAATTTTTCTATAATTTCTGTTACTTTGGCCCCTTTTATAAGTAGTATAAGCCAATTATTCTGTATTCTGTAAACCCCATCCAGACCTTTTTCATAGTCTGTTATAACATATTGACAGGAAAACGTTATTTATTAACATCGATATCGCACTTTTTATAATTATTTCTAATAAAACAAAACTACTTACCTACTTGCAGGATAAAAGTCCAGATTGTCCGGAATACTTTAGCCATCGCCTCTTTGATATATGACAAGGTTTAGAAAACGTTTTCGAACGTCGAGTTAACAGCTATGAACTAAGGCTAGGTACAATCAATTTTTAAAGGCTGTGATAACTTCCAGAATAAATAATTATCTAGATAAATTGAGGTGCAGGATATTCTTAAATGACGTCTATTATAAGCCTCACTGATTTACGAAGTGACTTAGTGTATAGATCTTAATAACATCCAAATATCTTAAATATATCTGAATAGTAAATTAGATTAAATATAGATGTTATAACATGTATAAGTAAATAAGATCGAAAGCAATTATCTTTTATTAAATATCCAACGAAGGAAACTTTACGAAAATGTAAAATTTACAATTTTGTATCACATTTCATTATTTCAGTAACAACTTTATTAATTCATGTTGAATGCCCTAGGTGTAACTTAACAGCATGCGCTTTGCCACTAATATATACTATAAGCTCTTCTGACTTAATTGTAATTGAATATGTGCACAATTACAACAAACACCTACTTAACATAAAATGTCGTCAATATAATGGATTTTGATGCCACTGTCATACAAGTGAGAGGTTTAGCTAGCTATAAAACCAGGTTCAATCTACCATTTTCTACATAAGAAAATGTCTGTAACAAGTCTTTACTTTTCACACAAAATATGACCTCAGAGTTTATCTACTGGTAGGATGTTTTGTGGAATTGCTCATGTGGTATGAGTGTCAATGAGACAACTTTGCATCTAATTCACAATGTGTAAAAAAAAACACCATTATAGGTAAAAGTACGTTCTTCAACATGGAGCCTTGGTTCACACCGAACAGCAAGCTCTAAAGGGCCCCAAATGACTAGTGTTGTTTAAAACACGGAAAAACCCGAGAAAAAAAAATACATATGAAAAACATCAACACACGACAACCACTGAACAATAGGTATTGGATTACACTATCTATATATTACTATATACACTATGTACATATTGCTATAGAAACACTATTTCAATATATTCAAAACAGAAATTCCGTAATTAAATGGCAAAATCAAAAGCTCAAACACATTACACGAATGGATAACAACTGTCATATTCCTGAACAACAGAAACACTGAAGTTCAACAAAAATAAACGCCAACTTACATAGAAACGAACGATTTGATTACAACAGCCGTATTCATGACTTGTATAGTCCTTGGATGGTGTAAACTTCCCACTAACACCATACACCATTACACCATTCACCATACTCCATTACACCATACACCCTGTGCCATTACACCATACACGTTACACCTTTGCACCATACACCTTACACATTACACCATAATGCAATCATATTTCAAAGAAAGCGTGCGACTACAAAATAATTATTTATTCAAGAAACGAAATTTTATCACAATATTGTAAATCAAAAATCAGTTCTTATCAATATTTTGCATATTTTTAAATGTCGTGTACCATTCATTCACACCATTCCCGATCGCACGTTTCACCATTACACCAATCCTCTTACACCACACACCATAGCACCATACACCTTCTACCATTGCACCATATGCCATACACCGTTACACCATACATGTTTTTTGGGAAGTTTACACCATCCAAGGGCTGCAACAGGACATTTTCAGAACATGCTTTTATGACTAGCCAAAACTTCCGCATATATGGCAATGTTACGAATATCGCCTAAATGACAACACTTAGTAACAGGATAACAGCACGCACAAACGCAAGAATACTAATCACAGAGAAATAGACAAACAAATAATATAATAGTCGTTACCACATGTAAACCGCAGAATAACAACGAACATCGTCCATTGACGAGCTCAGGACATTACAAACAGTGACGTAGTTTTTACAACGAATATGTAATCTTGAAATTCATACAATTATTTTCACAATACTAGTCCAAACAATTATCATGATAATGATGGTATTGAAAGGCTATTTTAACTAAATGCTGTGACGACGTCATGATTCTTTTTTTTTTACAAATATACTGACACATTTCTATTACTAATACTAAAACGTAAAAAAATAAGGATATGACTGCCGATACAATACATCTTAGGAAAATCTCGAATATAAGCAAGCCTCATATTGTTTACTATTAGCAAGCTAACAAAACAAAATATGAAACAATTTCAAAGAAAATCAACGACAGGGTGATTAAAGCTGATAACATCCTACGAAAACAACTATGATAGACGCCAAGAATTGCTTATGTTTAAAGCATTTTGTTTTATCAAACACAGTATTTATCTGCTAAAAATCTTCATCTATTTTGAACATATGTATACATAATTGAGCACATGCAATTATGTACACTTCAACATTAGCCTTTACTTTCTAATTCAATAGAACTAACACAAGTTTGGAAACTGAATGACGCAGTGACCACCTCGAATTTTATTTCTCTAATACAATCTGCATTTGGCTCAACAGTCCATTAGAATATCACATGGTACACCGTCTGGCCAAATGTTGAACAATGTCGCGTTCTGTTACAAAATAATCTACAAAATAAATACAACACATTTTAATACTGTACTATATAAAAACTTGATTACAAATATTTAAAAAATCAAAATCAAACATCTACCTATATACCGGTATATGACATGCGTTTGTGTAGTCACTACCCAGTCCTCGATAACTAGAAATCGTGCAATAAGGTTATACATACTGACCGCCAAACCGGTTAACGGCAATAGTTATACAAATTATACAAAATCCAAATAATATAAAATTAATCTTTATCTTTAGATTAGAGACAGAGATGTGAACATGAACTGGTGACTGTACGGCGTTTAACAAAACAGTAATACTAATTTAGAAGAGTATGCAGCATTATAGATGTACGAAGCACAAAAACAATCAACTCATAAAGTGTCAATTTAAGAGTTTTTTTGGTTTTTTTTACCGAAAGCCATTTCAAAGCTTGATTTTAAGTAATGAATAAACCATATTATACTAGGATAGAGCAATGGGAGAAATGTGGAATATAGGAAAATAATATAAACAGAAAAGAGATAAAATTAGCAAAAAAAAAAAAAAATGAAAAAAATAAAAATTAATTGGTAATTGAAATATAACGAATAGAGAATAAAGGTAAAAATGGAAGAAAAAAGGAATAGAGAAAAGTTTTTTCAATGACAAAAAATGAAGGACACCACCAATCCTCCGCACAACAAGGAAGTTCTAATTTTAGAAACAGATTTTTATATAAATACTTAGTCATCTATTTAAATCTGACTGACTTTCTCAACCGTAATAGTACATTTTAGTTACAGATAATTGCCGTAGATAACGGAAAGAAATTTATAATATTCTCATTCATATAGCATTAAATATTTTTAAAGGTAAATAAGTAATATATTGTTCAGAAGGTTATTCTTCTTCAATTATATATAATTGTTTTCTGTTAAAAAAGTGATCGGTTGTCAAAACTTGTTTCGGGTTTTTCTGTATATGCACATAAGAATATGCGATCAACACATACATTGCATTAATAATGGAGCTTTTCCTAGTCATTTTATAATCCAAACACATCAGGGACTATTCTTAAACATGTCGCTTCTGAGTTACGAAACAGACACATTTTATTCCAGGCTTTTTATTATTCAATATGTGTCCATAATGTCCCAATGCATATCAACATATACATTTCTGCAGATAACTACATACATATACACAGGACATAAACATGAGTAAATATATATTTTTCTAATTTATCATATTTTATTTAAATCTGTACATTTGTTAGTTGGAAAGAATCAAGTACCGAGTCCTTATCCCGGCATCGATAACATTGATAAATAACATATTATATAACTGTAGTATTTGTTTGTAATCTTCATTCAATTTTTCATACTTAAAAAAAAATATATACCATTTCAGTCATATAAAAAAAGAACCTTACCATTAAGATTATCAAGCAAATGATAATATAACAAATGCACAGGTTATAAAAAAAATATAGTTTGTATTGTTTAAGTAGTAACATATAAAGATATATGTTCTAAGTATGTCTTAGTAATCAAATAATGAAAAAAAAGGAACAAAAAAACAAACAAAAAACAACAAAAAAACAACAAAAAGTTTAAAGAAAAAATAATCAGACAAATTTCAAAGAAATCAAAAGATGTTTTGTTTGTTTGTACTTAGACATCCCGTCATTGTGTTATTATACTATGGTAAATTTGTGTATTCTTGTTTTTAATTTTTTCTAATATGCTTGCTCTATATGCCATTGTGTGCTTCTTTGTTACATATTTGTTTGTTTTTATAGTGATTAAGATTACCGTAAATTGGGTTGTTTTGGTTGCAGTTTTATTTTGGTTTATTTAGTGCCTCCAATGAAAGTTGCAAATTTAAACACACGAAAATAAAACAAAGGTTCAACACTAAGAATTGAAACGCCAAAATCGCGGACCGGTACGACGATATCGTAATGTTAATTGTAGGGGGAAATATCTTATGCTATTGTATCTTCCGTATATCTTCTATAATTCTATACATAGCCAACGCTGCAAATAAATACCGGGTATAATTTGACAACAACACTATATAATTTTTACTTAATTGTCAATTTTCTGAAATTGTTAAGAAAACACAATATGAATTTGTATTCACACATGTTATAAATATGCTAGGCTATTGCTGATAAGACGCCGTTATGGGTAATATAGAAAATCAAAACTCCTTGTAATCCTTTATCTTCAATAAATTAACATGTACTGCCAGATGCATAAGGATTAAATTTTAAATCCTTGATCGTCAATCATTAACATGTACTGCAATAGAGATAATGATTAAAATTTATTTCATAGGATATTTGTCAAAAATAAATAATCTATTTAAAATCACTTTCTGTTAGCTTTCAACCCCGAGATACGGAATTATTTGCAATTGCATTTGTATCCGATTCCTTCATTTAGTTAACTTTGTCGTGTTTTTAGTTTGTGTAGGTCATTGATATCATTTGTCAATAAACGTAAACGGGTAAATAAGGGCAAATATGAATGAGCTCGCACACTTCTATTGTTCCAAAATTAAATACCTCATTTTGACAAAGCACCAAAATTACACACACCAAAATAAAACACGCCTTTCGAGAGAAAACCGCCAAAATATCCCGACGCCAAAATTTCCCAATTTACTGTATAACACAATGTTCACTGCTGTATTTT